GACGCTCTTACTGTACAGCGTTTTCACTTCATAAAAAGTTATTGACATATGATATCAACAAGGGCTAGTAAAATCTGAAAAATCAGTGGTCTTTAATGTCTCTCATTGTTGCACTGTTTAGAAACACGAGCCACTGCCAAGATAGGCAGTTGATTATAAACAACTAGCACACTTGAGAAATTCTGCCTATTTTTGCTATTAGAATTTATAATAACAATCAAAATACATATTGTCTGCTATATAGTTTAATCAAGCAAAGCAATTGCCCTGCCTGTTATACTGGCATTACAGTTTGGATAGCTGTTTAAAGGATGAATTCTGTGCTGACTGAAGTGTTTATAAGTAAAATAGGAGATACATATCCCATTAAGATTCTTTGGCTTATGCTACATTTTACAGGTATTTTTGTATTCCTAAGAGGAATTGAATTGACAAATGCACATGATGCAACACAGTCTATTACAGCCTACAGTTCTTTCAACTGCAATTATCCATTTAATCATCATGAATCCAGTTCAATATAACTATACCATTGTCCAAATGTAGTCCTTTTTGCATGTTTCTATTTGGTTAAATTACTTCAGATTTTGAAAAATTTATGAGCTTAAACGAGGAATATACTTTAAGATGAAAGAAACCAATAAAAGTAAATGGGATAAAAAATAAACTCTGTTTTTCCTAATGTGAAAAAAGTTTTATTTAAAGTTTTCTGTGTGTTACAGACTATAACTACGACATCTGTTATTAAGTATTCTGCAAGAATACCTTATCAAAAAGTAGGATAATAGAAAACAAAATCAGTTAAGTGACAAAAACTAACACAGAAAACAGTTCAAGTTACGCTGGACTGCTTTATTTTTGTTTGTCTTATATACTGCAAAGCTCTCAGATCAATATGTACTTTCTATCAAAAATTTGCTGCCAAATGTACAAGAACTAAAACTTGTCATGCTTATGAGTATCAATCCTAGCATTGGCAGGGAACATACGTGCATACTAGAGCTGATACAAGGGCCCTGCTTTGGGATAAAATACATTTTTTCTTTACATCAAAATCCTGTGGTTTCTGGTCTGCCATAGTACCACGAATTCTGTTGCAGAATAGGTGAACCCAGAAGGTGAGTTTACTGAATCCCACATTTTATTAGTATTCTTCTTTATCTCATTTTAAAAGTATTCTAAATTCCATTGTCTCTGCACTTTCAGTTTCAAACTGGAAATGTGTTTATGTTGATTAAGTACAATGTAGTTATTCTTTGAAACAGAAATAAAGGGTTTGGTATCTGATCCAAAAGCTGGGTGTCTAGATCAGGTGTGGTATCAGGGGGCTTTGATAATGCAGTGAAAGATTAATCTCCTATTAGACAATGGATCTTTTCTGTCTATAAAATAAAAAAGGAGCCTGTGCCCAAACCAAGAATATAGCATTCCTCAGCCAGCCACATTCCCTCCTGTCCTCTTGAACATCCCTGCAACCAACAGCAAGCACATCACCTGGATAACATACCAAGGCAAATGAAAAGTGAAATAACTTTTCATTGATGACACGGTTGAGTGTTTATGGGTAAGGATGAGGGGGAAGGCCAATGAGGCAGATATCCTGCTGGGAGTCTGTTATAGACCATCCAACCAAGATGAAGAGGCAGATGAAGCGTTCTACAAGCGGCTGGCAGAAGTCTCTCG